AGCCGGAGGGATCGCACCTCGTCCACGATGGCTCTCGACTCCCTCTTGCCTCGCGATGGCCTCGCGAAGCCCCTGTTGACCAGTCGGTCGGCGTGCACGCTCGGCATCACGACGGGCCCTCCGCGCCTCGGCGTCACGAGTCTTCTTTGCATCCACCTTCTTCCATCCTTCTTCTTCTTCGTCGGCATCAGCTGCATCTGTCGCCGCCTCCACGACCTCTGCCCCGCGTGCCCTCGGGCGCACGCCTGCGGCCTGGCGCCCGCGCTGCGCGGGATGCATCCCGTCGGCGGCGGCGGCTGGCGGGCCCTGCCCAGGGCCAGCGGCGGCGGCTGCACCCGAGGGGGCGGCTGCGGTGGCCGCCGCAGGGGCGGCAGCAGGGGCTGCTGCAGGTGCCGCGGGCGGCGACGCCGCCGTGGGCGCAGCCGCAGGCGCTGCAGGCTCTCCAGCAGGTGTCGCATCCGGCCCAAGGCGCTGCGGTGGCCCAGCGAACGGGCGAACCTCTGGAGCGGCCGCATGCGATGCCGCAGTGCCCTGGGCCCGCATCGCCGCCAACTCCGTCTGGACCGTCGCGAGCAAGCCCGTGAGCCCCACGAGCGCCTGTCCCAGCTCCAGCTGCCCAGCCTGCAGCGCCGCGAGCGCGGCGATCGGCGGGGCCGTGTCGGGCGGGGTGCCTGGCATCGCTGGCGGTGTGCTAGGCACCCCGCCCATGGGTACGTCTCCGTCGGCTGCCTCATGAGCAGCAGCAGGAGGCGGGCGCATGGCCTCCAGCTGTTCCAGCAGCGTCCTGGCCCTCTCCACGGCGGCCGACCTCTGCTGGACCTTGGCGTCGGCGTCCTCCAGGGCGGCACGAGCTGCGGCGGCGGCATCCTGAGCTTTCTCCAGCTTCTGCTGCGCTCTCTGGACATATGACCGTTGCTTGTCACATCTCACGCCAGAAGGCCTAGCGATAATGATCATACAGAGCTGCACGGCATACTCCTCTTCCTGCGGGCGCATCTGCTCGGCCGACATGCCTAAGTCCTTCGCAGCCTGGAGGCGTTTGCCTGTGGCGGCGGCCATCTGGCGCAGCGAGCGGCGGTGAGCTCCAAGCTCACGCTCCTCACTCGGCGGCTCGACCCAGGCGGGGTGAGCCTTGGCAGCCTCTGGCAGGGCGGGCAAAATGCCCAATGCCGGGCTGCGCAGCACGTCGTCGCCGCCGTCCGAGGAGTGGCCGCCCTCGTTGGCCTCGCCGTCGTCGTCCTCGTCCTCCGCGAAGCGCACGCGGGAGGCCGACCTGGTCTGGCTGGATCGCCTGCGGCGGCGCGAGCCTGAGGCACGGCGGTGGCGGTCGCGCGGCTGGCTGCGTCGATCGCCAGCCTCGCTGCCGCGGTCCGCTGCGCCGTGCTGCGGCCCGCAGGCGGGCAAGGGCATGCACGTGCGGCAGAGCAGGTCCGACGGGCCATTGAGGCCTCCGCACGTCGGGCACCACCATCCTGGTGGCGGCGGCGGCACAGCCCACGGTGGAGTGCTGCCACTCTGCCCGCTGTGGCCGCTGCCCGCGCTGCCCTTGCCGCCGCCCTTGCGGCCCTGGCCGCCGCCCTTGCTGCCATAACCTCCAGCACGGCCAGACATGATCCCGCTGCTGTGGTGCACGCGCAACCTCGCCGCTGCCGCGGCGACGCGCAGCAAGGTGCGCGACTGCGTGCGCCGCTCGCGAGCGCGCCTATGCCAGGCGGGCTCGCGCACGCGCAGCCGGCGCCGCGCCCTGCGCACTGCGGGCGCCCGCGCCGTCGTGCGCCCGCCCACCCTGGGGGCGGCGCACGCCACAGCACAGCAGCACGGCCGGCCCGCACGCCACCAGCGAGGGCGGCGCGGGCGAGCGCGTATGGCCGCCGAGTCCCGCGAGGCTTCGCAGGTATCCTGGATACCTGCACCCAAAAGCCTCGGGCCGGGACGGCGGCTTGGAGGTGGAGGAGGAGGGAGGAGGGAAGAACGTCGCATTGTATTATCAGCACTTTTATGGCGTGGCGTTTAGCTGTCCGCAGTAGATCCTCACCGACATGCTCCTTCTATCTATCCTGTGCACGAAGGCACTGTTGAGTACACCAGCGCTGCGTTGCACGCGGATGCTGTGGTGCAGAGGCGCTGTGGTGTGCACAGGCGCTGCGGTGCACGCAACCACTGTGGTGTACACAGGCGCTGTGTTGCAAATGGTTGCTACAGTGTACACATTCGCTGTGGTGTACACCGGCGCTGTGGTGCACGCAAGCACTGTTGTGTACACAGGCGCTGCGTTGCATACGGCTGTTGCAGTGTACAGAGGCGCTGTGGTGTACACGCGCGCTGTGGTGCACGCGAGCATTGTGGTGTACACAGGCTTTGTGGGGCAGATCGCCACCTACATGCTGCTCGCGTCGTCGTCGTCGCTCGTCGCTCATCGTCGTCATGCGCGCGGTCTCGGCTGTGGTGCCAGATCCACACTTCGGAGGGGGGGGGGCGTTACGTCATACCCCCCACCTACCCCCCCCATGACGCCCGTCATCGCCGAAAATAAAGAAATGCTCTTTAGGGTGATAAGTCAATGCCGCTTTCTCCTTGCCCTGACCGCGCTCCTGCGCAGGTATTATTCAAGTGGCTTGCGCCAGTCCGCCGACCCCCAGAAGAAGCGAGTGCTTGCGACGATCTTGGAAGTTATCTGGGGGAAAAGGAGATTCTTGGATGCATGTGAGGGGCTCGTGGGATGCCGCTCAGGGACCTTGTGGGCATCGAAGGGGCCTTTTGGGCTAAGAAGAAAGCGAGTATGCTAAACATGTAAATATTCCGATGGGAGTGGGACGATTTGCGCTTCTAGGGGCCCTCTCGGCGGTCCTTTGGGAGCATGTTTGGGCCGTCTTGGGCGCTTCGTGGGCCGTCTCGAAGCCATTCAGAGTCGTCGTGGGGCTACCATGGGCGATCTTGACGCTTTCTTGGGCTGTCTTGGCGCTGTTTAGGCGCTCTGTTTTCCGGGGATGCGCTTGGGAGCTCGGCCCCCCTCGTACCCCCTCCCCCTCAAACGGCATTTTGGTCTCCAGGGGAGGGGAAATTGGGCAGAGGGATGGGATAGCCAAATGTTTCACACGCCTTTTTTAGCCCGTGCAAGCGGTGGCGGATTACCTCGCGCTTGCGAAGCGGTCGCGTGTGAATTTCAGAGTTCTGGCTGCTGGTTTTCTGGATGATCGCAGTTCTCGCGATTATGGCATGCCTTTGGTTGAGTTTGTCATTCCCGAGGGCGAGCTCGCCTAGACACGCTCGATGCTGCGACCGCGCCAATCAGAACACCACCCTTTGGCAGACTCAGATATAGACAGCACCCTTGCACCAACGGGAGCACTAACGTTGGGCAGAGGAGGGTCTGGAGGCTTTGGAGGGCGGACTTGAGACGGTGGATGTGCCACAGTAGGATACTTTTGTGGCCCATCCCAGCATCGCTTCACGAGTGCAGATGGTACCCGGGGGGCGGGGCCATTTCTTGTTCCAATGTTTGCCCCCTTCCCCCCCCAGCGGCGACGTCCGCTAGGGGTGGTGGCGGTGACAACGCCGTGTCTTCGGATGTAATGCCGCCAGCCCGAGCCTGAGGAGGATGAGGAGGAGGAGGCGGAGGAGGAAGGAGGGTCAGGATAAGGGAGAGGATATGCGTGAGGATGATATTAATGATGAGGATTGGGGTGAGGATGAGGATGACGATGAGGATGGTGATGGTGATGGTGATGGTGAGGTGGTTGTGACGATGCTGCTGATGATGATGATGCTGAGGATGATGATGACGATGATGAGGATGATGATGATAACAATGGTGATGATGCTGATGACGATGCTGATGATGCTGATGTTGACGATGATTCTACTGATGATGCTGATGATGACGACGATGATGATGGTGACGATCTGGTGGTGATGGCGATACTGCTGATGATGATGTTGATGACGACGACGATGATGATGATGATGCTGATGACGATGATGATGCTGATGATGATGCTGGTGATGGTGCTGGTGTTGGTAATGGTTATGATGGTGATGGTGACGATGACGGTGAGGATGATGATGATGATGGGGATGCTGATGATGATGATGATGATGGTGGTGGTGATGCTGATGAGGATGAGGATGAAGATGGTGGTGAGGATGAGGATGTTGATGAGGATGAGGGTCAGGATGACGATGAGGATGAGACTGATGACGATGATGATGACGATGATGGTGATGATGATGACGCTGATGACGATGTTGATGATGCTGATGCTGATGCTGATGATGTTGATGTTGATTTGATGCTGATGGCTATGATGATGATGATGATGATGATGATGATGCTGCTGATGATGATGATGATGATGATGATGATGATGGTGGGGTGGCGATTATGATGATGATGCTGATGATGACGATGATGACTGTGATGATGACTGTGATGATGATGATGATGATGATGATGATGATGATGATGATGATGATGATGATGATGATGATGATGATGATGACGATGACGATGACGATGACGATGCCGATGACGATGCCGATGACGATGATGATGATGCTGATGATGATGATGATGATGATGGTGATGATGGGAATGCTGATGATGATGATGATGATGATGATGATGATGATGATGATGGTGATGGTGATGGTGATGGTGATGATGAGGATGAGGATGAGGATGAGGATGAGGATGAGGATGAGGATGATGATGATGATGATGATGATGATGATGATGATGATGATGATGATGATGATGATGATGATGGTCATCATCATGATGCTGATGATGACGATGACTACGACGATGAAGATGACGAGGATGAGGATGAGGATTAGGATGCAGATGAGGATGAGGTTGAGGAGGAGGCGGAGGAGGGGGAGGCGGACGAGGAGGAGTAGGAGGAAGAGGAGGAAAAGGGGGGGGGAGAGGGAAACGGGGGGAGAAGCAGGAGGAAGCAGCAGGAAACGCCTCCCTCCCCCGCCCCACGGCGCCCGCGCAGGTGGTTCGGCGCGTAGGCGGCGGGCGGCGTGATGGCAGGGCCCGATTCGGTCCCAAGACTCAGTCACGGAAGGGCAGGAGAACCCTGGATTGAGCGGATGTTGAAGGACCCGGAGACCCAGGCGATGCATTTTTTTCACCGGGCATTTTCGCCTGGTCTCTGGGGCCGTTACAGATTGGGCTCTAGGGCACGTGCCGTGATATTCCGCGATGCTGTATTTGTTTTCGCAATGCTGGATCTCAGGGGATACTGATACCGCGGCTCGTCGTGGAGACCCCTCGTCGCCACGGCCAGATTCTCCGCCACTGTCTGGCCAGAGTGCACCCCAGGAGAGGCCTGGGGAGCAGCGGTGTCGGCGCCTTTTTGTCCCCTTGTGGCGCGCCCCGGCCCCCACCGCGGCAATGTTCGGATTTGGGTCGTGGAGGATGGTCGTACCAACGGTGCCGAAAGAGTGGACGAGGACCGCGCACACGAGAGGGGTGGGGCGAGGGGGAGTGGCTTTCTAAGATGGCATGTGGCTTCTCAGAGGTGGTCGGAGACGGCTTCTCAGCGTTCAGGGGGGCCTTTACAGGGCAGGATGCCTCCGGGCCCCAATCCCCCCTCGCTCTGCGCGCCGGGAAGGTGGGCTCCAACCTCGCTTCCTCAGGGGCAGCCTTGGGGGGGGGGGGGGGATCGGCTCCAGAGGGGAACGCATCAGCTCCCAACCGCCCATTCATCGCCGACACGGGGCTGAGAGTCGCGGCGCCGCGGCCCTCGCGCGAAAGAGGGTGCCCTCGCGCGCGCGCGCGCGGCGGCAGGGCCCCGAAAAAGAGGCCCCGCCACGGCGTGGCCCGGGGCCGCGCACGGGGACGGGCGGCGCGCACCCGACGCGTGGCAAAAGCAAGCCGGGCATGCGCGCGCGCGTCGGGAGCGGAATGCACGACGCGGGACGCTTCTGGCCGTGTTCGGCCTCCGGGGGCCCCTCGCCCGGCCCCAGGATGGAAAGAGGGCTTCATGGGGAAAGGGTCGTGTCTTCCGTATTCGCACTATCAGGACATTCGCAGGCCTAGAGATTGACGCCAACACCAATATCGGCGGTGTGCATCCACTGAGGGAGGAAGATCCCGATCTCGGTGATGGTGGTAATATTCTGGCTTCCAAGGTGGCCGAAATATTGCCACCAACACCGAAATCGAGGATCGTCTTCCCAATGTGGAGGCAACCCCTTGGGTTGGTGTTGGTGCCCATTTCTAGGCCTCCAAGACATCGTATGTTCGGGATGTTTCTAGACGTTTTCGGCCTCCGGGGGCCCCAGGATGGAAAGAGGGCTCTGGGGAAAGGGTCGTGTCTTCCGTGGGCCCCGTATTGGCACTATCAGGACATCGTATGTTCAGGAGCGGGCTTGCCCCTCGTGGGCCCAGGTGGGGGCGGGGCCGGGTGGTGCTTCGGGGGCGGCCGAGAGGGCGGTGAAGTGGATGCGGATGTCATGGTCGGGGCCATGTTAGCTCCCCGCATTTCATGGCCTCCCTCGAGCTTCTTGTTTTGCAATTAGGCTTGCCTACGGGGTTCTTACTTGGTTAAAGGTTGGCGCCTCGGATTCTCACGTTGCCCGTTGCTCGGATGTTCCCCGGGTTCCTCGGGTTCCCTGGGTTCCTCGCTCTCGGTGCCTCCGATTCTTACATTGCCCCTTGCACGGAGGTTCCCAGGGCTCCCCGGGTTCCTCGGGTTCCCCGCCCCCGGTGCCTCCTAGCGTTACGTTGCCCGTTCCTCAGAGGCTCCTTTGGTTCCCCAGGGTTCCTCGGAGGCTCCCCGGGTTCCTCGGGTTCACCGCCTCCAGTTGCCCCAAGCAACAATGCCTAGGGCTGCCTGAGTGGTTCTTACTTGGTGAAAGGTTTGCGCCTCGTATTCTTACGTTGCCCGTTGCTCGGAGGTTCCCAGGGCTCCCCGGGCTCCCCGCCCCCAGTGCCTCCTATTGTTACGTTGCCCGTTCCTCGGCGGTTCTTTTGGTTCCCCAGGTTCCTCGGGTTCCCCGCCCCAGGTGCTTCCTATTGTTGCGTTGCCCGTTCCTCGGAGATTCTTCGGGCTCCCTGGGTTCCTCGGTTTCCCTGGGTTTCTCGGGTTCACCGCCTCCGGTTACCCCAAGCAACAATGCCAAGCAATGCCGAGCAATGCCAAGCAATGCCAAGCCATGCGAAGCAATGCCAGGCAATGCCAATCAAATCCCAGTATTGCCAAGCAGTGCCAAACAATGCGTCAAGCAATGCGCCAAGCAATGAGCCTAGCAATGCCAACGCATGCCAAGCCATGCCAAGCAATGTCAAGCAATTCCAAGCAATTCCAAGCAATGCCAAGCAATGCCAAGCCATGCGAAGTAATGTCAAGCAACGCCCAGTAACGCCAAGCAGTGCCAAACAATGGCAGTCAATGCCAAGCATTGCCAAGCAGTGCAAAGCAATGCCAGCTCATGCCAAGCAATGCCAAGCCATGCCAAGCAATGCCAGGCAGTGCCAGGCAATGCCAAGCAATGCCAAGCGATGCGCCCAGCGATGCGCCTATGCAACAGGCTGTTACCTAATTGGGGTTGCGCCAGGTTCGTTTCAATCCGTGCTTTCCTCCGTCTGACGCTGTGGAGCAGCTGCGCTATTGTCTGGTATACTGTGCTTGAGGGTGAGGTGTTCAGTCGCTCCACGTTGTGAAAACATATATTTTTTTAAATGCGTCCCGTGGCCCCCCTATCGGGGCCGCGCACTTGCCTCGGGCCATGCTTTGCGAGCCCCCCTCTTGGATGCCCCCCTCTAGGACGAGCGCTGGGGGGGGCTGCCTCCGATGAGCACCGAGGGTTTGGCTGGCTCCAGAGGCCAGGTTGTTCTGATCCGCGCGTCGTGAGAAAATCGCGACGGAAGGTTTGTGGCCAGTTTTGGCCTTCCATGGGGCTCCTTCTGCCAGGCCCCAGGACCTTCCACAACACCAACGGCTGAGGATGAAAAGCCGGTCGGAGTGGTGCCAGGGAGGAGTGGTGCCGGGTGCCCCGGGGCGGGTCGGCTAGGGGTTGACGTAGCCCAACATTGGTTTCGGCGAGCAGGATAGGGGGGAGAGGTTCGAGGCGCTGGGTTGGACACGGTGTTGTGCTCTTTTTGGTCTCTGTATGCCTCTTCGGGCCCGGGGACCCGGGACCTTGCAAAACGGATCCTTCGAGGCGAAACGTTTCACCAGATGGACCTGGGAGGTGTCCGGAGAGTGATTTTGGGCGGATTTGGCTTCATCTCTTCCCCTCCTGACCATGTTTGTCTGGGTCCAAGGACCGCGGAAGCCTGCGGAGGCAAGCGAGGGCGATTCTGCACGCGAAAGTCTGGCATAATCCAGCGGAGGTGCACGTACGAGGTGAGCCCCAAAGGAGGCCAATGGCGGCGTATGGGCGCTGGCCAGCAGTTCGGCCGATAAAAATCAAGTCGAGATGCTGCGGTCGGCGTCTCAGGGAAACGCGCCGCTTTCGGTCATCTTTTTGACCACCTCAAGACGGGCCCTGTGGCGAGAGGCGGAAGGGGGAGTGCAGGAGGGAGGCGAGGAGGGGGCAGGGGGGAGGCACGCGCGCCAGGCCCAGCCGCGGCGGCCAGGGGAGCACCGAGTTCACAAACTGATCGAGCGCGCCAGGGCGCGCGGCCAAGCGTTCCCCGAGGGCCGCCCGCCAGTCGGCCTCGGCGCCCCCGGCTCGCCCCGCCTGGGCCTGCATCAGCCCGGCCGTCCGCGCGGGCAGCACGGGACTCCGGCGGCTGCTGGCCCGGTCGCGTTTGCTGCGCCATTGCGGCGACCGCGGCAGCGGCATCCGCCTCGCGCGGCGCGCGCTGGCGCCAGCCGCCAGCCGCAGCCCACTGCCGGCGCACGGCGCACGCACGGCCCATGGGGGCCCCGCACGCCGTGGTTCGCTTTCAGCGCTTCCAGCTCCACAGCTGCCAGCAGTCGCGCGCAGTCCAGCGCCTGGAGCTGCCGCCGCTCCCAGAGCAAGGCAGGAGGCGGCAGAGGAGGGCCGTGGAGGCGGCGACAACAACCCCGTCGGCCACGTCGTTGCCCTCCCAGTCCTCGGCTGCGAACCGTGGCCCCGCTTCGTCCGCACCGTTTGGAAGGTGCGGAAGGTGCGGAAGGTACTTTGATGGATTCTTCGGATGTCTGTCCGTGTCTTTGCATGTCTCCATGCCTTGAGAAACTTGCGGTAATTCACATAACCTGCGTTATCTTGATCTATATGAGGGTGAGCGTATATTTGATGTTGATGCTTCTGTTGATGATGTTGATGACGACCACGACGACGATGATGATGCTGATGATCATGGTGATGTTGATGGCGATGATGATGATGATGATGATGATGATGATGATGATGATGATGATGATGATGATGATGATGATGATGATGATGATGATGATGATGATGGTGGTGGTGGTGGTGGTGATGATGGAAATGACGAAGATGCTGATGATGATGATGTGATTCCGACGCTGATGATGATGATGATGATAATGATGTTGATGCTGATGATGATGATGGTGATGATGATGAGAAAGAGGAGGATCTGGACATGACGATGGTGATGATGAGGAGGAGGACTAGGAGGAGGAGGAATTGGAGGAGGAGGAGGAGGACGATGATCACGATTGTGATGCCCATATGTTGTGCGATAGTGATGATGATAGTGGCTTAAGGATGATGAGGATATGATGGTGATGGTGATGGGAAGGAGAAGGAGGACGGTGATCACGATTGCGATGCCCATGTTGAGATTATGATGTCGTTGCTCGTAATGTTGGTGGCGAGGACCATGCTAGTGGTGATGATGATGCTGATGCTGATGATGACGATGACGATGCCGACGATGATGATGATGATGATGATGATGATGATGATGATGATGATGATGATGATGATGATGATGATGATGATGATGATGATGATGATGATGATGATGATGATGATGATGATGATGATGATGATGATGATGGTGGTGGTGGTGGTGGTGGTGGTGGTGGTGGTGGTGGTGATGATGATGATGATGATGATGATGATGACCATTACCATGATGATCAAGCTGGCGACGATGGTGACGACGATAGAGACGCGATCCTCGATCCTCGATGCTCGATACTCGATCCTCGGTCCTGGATCCTCGATCCCCGCTCCTCGACCCTCGATCCTCGATCCTCGCTCATCGATCGATTTTCCATCTTCTCGATCTCTCGTTTTCTCGATCCTTTGATCCCCGACCGATCCAATCGATCCTCGATCTCCCCCTCGATCCGCTCTTCGATCCCTCGACATCCTTGATTTTCCGTCCTTCGATCGACGACTCGATCCACGATGGATCGATCCTTTGATCGCCTACCCGATCGCCTCCGCAATCGTTCTTCGATCTCCTGCTCGATCTCGTGATCCTCGAGTGCCCTCCCCGATCCTCGATCCTCGGTCCTCGGTTCTCGGTCCTCGATCCTCGATCCTCGATCTTCGATCCTAGATCCATTTTCCATCTCGTCGATCCTCGATCTTCGATCTTTGATCCTCGATCCTCCACCCTCGATCCTCGATCCTCGATCCCGATCCTCGATCCTCGATCCTCGGTCCTCGATCTTCGACCCTCCTCGATCCCGATCCTCGGTCCTCGATCGTCGATCCTGGACCCTCGATCTTCGATCCTCGATATATTCTCCATCTCCTCGATCTTCGATCCTCGATCCTCGATCTTCCATTCTCGATCCTCGATTCTCGATCCCGATCCTCGATCCTCGAGCCTGCTCGATCCCGATCCTCGATCATCACTCCTCCACCTCCTCCTCCTCGATTCAAATGTAAAATCCGGATACCCTCACAACAAATTATAGAAACGGCGCCACCAGCAACGCCATCAGCGTTTCATAAGAAAACGTATGCCAAACCCGC